CAATATTAATTGCAGAATCTCCTAGAATCCGAGAGACCATTTACTTTCCGCATTTTCACTCACTCGGACGTATTCTAACTTGACCGTCGGAGGAGGAACTCCAACCAACCGGAGTCTCTGTGCTTTTGCAGGTACAGGCGGTCGGCTACCAATTCTGGTGTTGTAACTCTCCCGCAAGACGCATCAAAAAAACCCCGAAACAACTAGCATAGTGCCTGTACGATGAACATTTTACAAATCAACCTATTTATTTGTATAAAAAATAAATTTCATGATAAATAATGGACTCTTTTATATTAACGAACTAAAAAATCATCATAATATAGACTAATAATAATAATAATAATAATAATAATAATAATAATAATAATAATAATAATAAAATAATAATAATAATGATGATGATCAATGTTTTAAATAGAAAAATGGTATTCCAAACAATATTTTACGTCACAAAAAAAAAAAAAGTTATTCACATTTCTCATTTAGTTTCACTTTTAACTTCTCTAATTGTGTTTTTTTAAGGAAATAATTGTGGATTTTAGTCTAGTTCAAGAGTCAAACTAATTCAAAACACCCTAATAAAAAAAAATTATTCCTAAGGAAAAAGATTTTATGTAGGTTTTACAACAAAACTTTCAGGTTCAAATTATATAAACTAATACTACCTCAATTTCTATTACTTGCAATAAAGAATTTTTTATGTCTCACAAATAATACCCCTTTGTTGCGACTAATAAGAAATGAAGGTAGTATTTGAAAATAGAGAAGGTATTGGGTGCGGACTACTGCACGCAAATTTCTGTGCGGCAGGCTTGGCTGATATGTTTTACTTGTTGGCTGATATGTTTCATTTGTTGGCTGATATGTTTCATGTGTTGGCTGATATGTTTCATTTGTTGGCTGATATGATTTTTGTGTTGGCTAATATTTTCTTTTTGTTGGCTGATATATTTTCTTTTTTAATTTTTGATAGGTTCCTTTTGTTGACTGATATCAGAAATCATTTGACTTATATGTTTCTTTAGTTAACTGATATATTTATTTTGTTGGCTGATATGTATATTTTAACTGTTGGCTGATATGTTTATTTTGTTGTTGCTTCTGTTTGCTGATTTCATCCTTTTATTGGCTGATATGCTTCCTTTGATGACTGATATGTTCCTTTGGTTGGTTGATAAATACCTTTTGTTGGCTAATATATTCCTCTTGTTGGCTGATATATTCCTTTTGTTGGCTGATACGTTTTTATTAATGTCTTTAATGTTGACTGATATGAAATATCAATTGACTCATATATTACTTGTATTAGCCGATGTACAAAGTATATACAAGTAAAAAATATATTTATTTCATTTTGTCTCCTCTTTCCCCCTTTCTTCTCTTTCTTTCTCTCTCCTGTTAGCAGATTCAAAAAATCATATCAGCCAAGAGCCCAAGATCAGTCAATATTTCTCTCTTTCTTCTAATCCTATCACCATCAACACAACCACCACGGCAACACCATACTCTCTCTCCTTCCTGCCGCAGCTCGCACTCACCACCAACACAACCACGCACCACCACTCTCTTTTCTTCCTGTCGCAGCCACGTCGGAGCCTAGCCTAACCATGCAAACCACAATCACCACCAGCGAACGTTTCCACCATTAGGGAACAGTTCCTCCAGCAACGAATGCCCCCACCACTAGCGAATGTTCTATCCTCCACCATAACTTCCGCATTCGTCATTTGTTTTCAAAGAGAGCAAATCATCAATTTTGATTCAATAGCAAATTTGGAAACAATACCCCCCTTTGGATTAATTATGATGGTTTTATGTGCAATTGATGTGAATTTTTTATTTTGATTTTGATTGGAAAAAAGGAGCAGAGGAGAAAGAAAGAGAAGGGAAGAGAAGAAGGAGGGAGAAAGAGAAGGAAAAAGAAAAAGGAGTGTCGCTGCCGCATAAACTATTGGTGCGGCTTGCCGCACCCAATAGTTTGTGTTGAAAATATATATGTTGAACATTAGCTTGATTCATATAAATTTTAAAATAGATTCACTCAACCCTATTACATGGCACGTCACTCATCAGGTCTATGTTTTCAAAAAAAAATTAATTTTAGATCCTGATGCTGATACCCCTTATATATGCATTACCCCAAAATAAAAGATGTAAAAGATATAGAGTAATTCTTTCACCATCGCCCGTAGACAAGATACGGAGTATTATTTTACCATATACATTTTTTAATCACTTGTAAATTATAAAGAAATTTGTTGCTTATTATTTTAGTTAAAATCCATTACTTTATCTAGTAAAAAAAAAAATTACTATTTATATTATGCAATGATAGAAGGAATATATCTGATGGAAGAGGAATAAAAGGTTGTCATAAAAGGAATAAAGTAAAAGTGTGTAGAATTTAGAAAAAACAAATGAAAACAGAAAATAATATTGGTTTTAGGAAAACGGAGGAAGTATATATCAATTGTAATTGAATTTGGGTAACCTTTAAAATCATGATAATTGTTCCCTCTAGATTTTCTCCTCGGGAGGGTTTTTCTTGTTTTTCTCTAGGGTTTCTCCCTTGAAAGAGTTTTCCTAGCCTCTGTTGCTAGGTTTTTTCTGTTTTGTAGAAGGTTTTTCTTCTCTCTTATTCCTTTTCTCTCCATCACACCATCTATTTTCCTCTTGGTCTCAGTTGTGAATCTTTGTAGGGGCTTCTACTGGTGTTCTTACCGGTGGTAAGCTTTAAATACCTTTTAATTGCTTTCAATAAATAGATCAGATCTCATCCGTTGAGATGATAATTTTTTTCTTGTGTTTATTTTCATTTTCTGTATGTATGACAAGTGTTTTAGGTAAAAATACCCATGCCACGTGGCCCAATCAGAGGGTGACACGTGTCACCTTAGGAGAGATTCAAAATGAACCAATCCTTAGCCGACACGTGGCACTCCCAATCAGTGGGGAAAAAGACGACCTTTAGGGCCCAATCACTGAGAAAAGTCGCAAAACGCCGCTGCCCCCCAAATCTAGGTCAGAATGACCCAGATGGGGGCACATTTACCAATGACCCTATAAATAGGGAGATTTACCCACTTTGGGGACACGCTCAAATTATTACAACACAATCAAATCTCTCACATCAGAGAAAACTAACACCTGATCTTAGAATCCGAGAAGATCTCACTTTACTTTTCGCACCTTTTCACTTTCTCCTTACACGTTCTAACTAGATCTTCGGAGGCGGAACTCCACCCAATCGGAGTCTCCGTTGTTTTTCAGGTACAGACGCTCAGAATCCAGTCTTGGTGATGTAAATCTCCCAAGGGACACAGAAAACCATGAAACAACAAAAATTGAAGAATTTGGGTTTCATAATCTCCATAAGAATCCAAAGGACCACATGATTATTTTTCACTCAAATGACTACATATAAGTGGATTTCAAGCTGAACCAGAGCTAACTCACATATTCTATTGCTTTAAATGAAGTATTTAATTAAGGTGATTGTTAATCAAATTCGCACGCGATGTATTTAGTTCTATGGTGTTATATATTTGTTCTAATTCTTGATTTTTTAGGAATTATATGTAAATGTCGTTTGCATATATTATTTTATTAATGAAATCCCTATTCTTCTTGGAAAAAAAATAAAATAAAATTGGGTAACCTTTAAAAGATCTTGTTTTACCTAAATTTATGAGAGCTCAAATAATTGAAAATGGTGAACAAAATATGGCAAAATAGGGCATTAGGTGAACAAAATAGGGCATAAGTGTGAAATTCTACAGTAGTCATTTGACCACAATTTTTAAAACTTGACGTCTGTTAAATAATTGTCAATTGTCGCGTGAATTTATTGTTATTACCAAATTGTCGCATGTGGTTAGTTTTTTTAACCAAATTGACGCCGGAGTAGGTTTTTTTTTTACTCCCTTAGTATCTAAACTATTAGCAAAAGGTTTTGATTTTTTTTTTTTTGCACTATTCATCTAATTCACTTAAACTAATGTTTATGATTTATATATAAGAATAAATATTTTCTTGGTGTACTTGTGAAATCCTTTAAACAAATAATTTAGTAATATTTGATTGTTATAATTTAACTTATTGTTAATTAAAGATACTATCAGTCAAAATTTTACATTAACATGTATTAATATATACGTTACAAGAAAAATATTTCCTTAATTTAAATACGAAGGGAGTATGTTGTAAATAGGAAAATTGCATTATTCATAATGACTAGGAATAAAAGGGTCAAATATTACATATGAAACCCCTCCCCCCACCCACCTAGAAACTACATCTTATAAAATAAGAAAATAAGCTATTAAGTCGCTAGAGACATTAAGATGGAGATGGTGTTTGATGTTGGTGTCCCAAAAATATGGGATGATGATGGTTGACGTTCCCTTGGTGGTGGTAAGATCGAGGTTGTAAAATGTGAGTTGGGGTTGATTGGTTGTGCAATAATGGAGGTAGTTTTCTTTAATGAAAATTTGTTTAAAACCAACTTATAAAAACCAAATTTTGTTGAAAATTATCTTTATCATTTTATTTTTTTTGTCAAAGTATATCTGTGTTGAAATTTTTTTTGTTAAGTCCCACCACTCCCTGTAATTGCTTGAAACAGAGGAGTTACGAAGAGGGGAATGAATGGAGGGAAAGGGGGGAAAAGAATAAAAGAAAAGTGGGGTTAAGTAGGTCACGTCAAATGTACATGATAGTAAACGCCCGAAATGAAAGATGGAAAGCAAGCGGGAATCCAATTTCTTCCTGTGAGCGATGGAATCGTCGACGGATGGCTGACCCCTACAAGAAGAGGAGGCGGGCGCTCAACCCAAAAGTCAATAGTTGTAATCCGGGGAGTGGTGGGATTTAACAAAAAAAATTTTAAAACAAGTGTGCTTTGACAAAAAAAAAATTATAAGATGATTTTCAACAAAATTTGGTTTTTATAAGATGATTTTCAACAAATTTTCCTTTCTTAAAACTGCCTTTTTTTTTTTTTTTTTTTTCCACAATGGCAACTATAATTGCCCCTTCTTCACTTCTTGTATCTACCCAAACAACAACAATAATTAAGACTATTTTTTCTTTCCTTTTCACTTAGATCCCAATCATTTTCTCTTTGCAAACCAAAGGCCCCGAAACAACTTAAATGACTTGGATTAGGGCACTAAATTTTGACTTGCTCCATCTCTAACTCGTTCAATAACAATTCCATATTACACCAAGATGATCCTCCCTCTTCAACCGATTTTCTAGCAACCTCACTTAACTCCTTTACCTTCTGCCTTACCTTCTTTCCCATCTCACCTTCCATCAACTCTTTGACCATTTTACTCAAACCATCCCACTTAACAAACCCTCTTGGTGACCCATCAATGGTCTCAACTCTCACTCCCACCTCGATCTCCTCGGCCACCATCTTCGCGTTCAAATGTTGTTCCGCCATCATAGGCCAAGCCAAGATCGGTACACCCGCACAAATGCTCTCTATCACCGAGTTCCACCCACAATGACTCAGAAACCCTTGGACATTCCTATGTTCAAGTACTTCCCTTTGCTCAACCCATCCTCTTACAACCAACCCTCTTTCCGTCATTCTCTCCTCAAACCCTTCCATAACTTCTTCTTGGTTAGGTTTTATCCTTAAAGCCCATAGAAAACATGCTTCCGATTTTTCGAGCCCGGTTAAAATCTCCTTCAGTTGCTCATTACTTATCTCACCTTGTGACCCGAACGCAATGTACATGACAGGCTTTCCTTCATCCAACTTTTTATCCAACCATTTGTTCCATTCAGGCTTCTCCGGACTTTCTAACGTTGTTTGCTTCTCAGCCAAACAAAGCGGGCCAACACACCAAGATTTAGGCTCATCTGAGATTGAGTTCATATATTCCACAAACGGTTGCTCAAGTTCACTAAAACTATTCATAATAACACCACAGCTCATTATAATGGAATTACGAAACTTGATGTTAAAATCGAACTTTGGATCTTGAGTATCAAACTCATTAAAAGAGCTATCAAAATCATCTTTTCGTAGCTTAATCAAAGGAAACTCTGGTACTTGGATTAACTCATCCTTGGACTCGAGCCCCGAAAATACATTGTTAACCAACACTGACCTTGAAAGAGCAGAAACATACATGTTCATACCGAAGATGACTAATCTACGGATATTAAACTTAGCTGCTGATGGTTGAGTCCAGTAGAGAAAACCATCAGAAATGAAGAAACTAATGGGGTTGTCTTGTTTTTGTATATTTTCGAGGGCGCTATCAAAGTGAGGTTGCAGCGTTTCAGTTGCGAAAGCAAATGAGTGAAAGAGGGACATAGACGGGAGTCGATCAGTGCTTTCGACTCCCGTGGGAATGTCATCGTTGGTGGATGAGAAGGGAAGGGAAATAATGGTGACGGTGTTAGGAGAGAGTGTCGAAAGCGAGGCCGAGATAAAGGGCTCGTTAGCCGGGGTGGTGAAGATGGTGAAGGTGGCTTTGGGTCGATGGTTGTGTATGAGTTTGGTTAAGTGTAGAAGAGGAATGGTGTGGCCTTTGGACATGAAGGGGAATAACGCAATGTGTAAATGTTGGGGAGTTGTCATTCTTCTATTTTTTTACTTTGTGAATATTTTGTTTCTCTAGATTTGTTTGTAAGAACTATCATTTTAATAGAGGCTTTTGGTGAATATAATATAATAAGAAACTTGGTAATAGATTCATTCATAAAAGCATTAATAAGACCTTTAAGAGTACAACTGCCAATGGCGTATCCATAATGGTTGTGTTCCCCAATGCTGGGCTACCCCCGAAGTTTCAAATGCCCGACATGGACCGCACCAACCTGAAGCCCCCGGGTTTGGCGTGTTCAAATACTCGAACCCAAGCAAGGAGCTTCAATCTTCCCTCATATAAGTAGTTAAGTACATTATAATATGATATGTATAATTATTTACTCCATCTATTTTTTAATTTTTGAATCATTGTAAAAATATATACTCTATTTGAGGGTAAAAGATACCTTAAGTGGTTAAAATTTCTTTCCTAGTTTCAGAATCTTGGAATCGATAAAAAATAACTCCCTTCATTTTTTTAATATTTTTGAATTTTTTTTTAACTATTATAAAATGAATAAATTTTATTATGTAATACGGAGTACTACACTATCTATTGGATTAATTACAATATTTATGTACATAGCTTCATTTTTTTTAACACCCCAAAAAAAAACAAAAATTACTCCCTTTATTTTTTTTAATATTTTTGAATTAATTTTTCAGATATTATAAAATGAATAAATTTTGTTATGTAATACGGAGTACTAAACTATCAATTGAATTAGTTACAATATTTATGTTCATAGCTTAAATTACTTATTTTTTTTTTACAAATTTTATCAATAGACAATTAGATATATAAATGGTCAAAATTATGTCTCATCAAATATGTCAATTAAAGTGATGCAAATATAGAAAAAATAAAAATAAAAAATGAAGTACTCACAATAATCCATACCCGTTTTCATTATCCTATACTCTTTATTTATTGACCAAGCTACTTGCTTATATATAGTAGTACTTCCTCCGTTTTATAATGTTAGTCTCATATATTAGTTGGGCGTTTCAAAAATATCTACTCATATTGAATATGTTTCATTTTTAACTTAATTTTTTTGGAATTAATTGGTTATGGATTATTGATGACATGACTCTAAGTAAGGAAATTTCTACCTTGAATTATGCAATTATGACTTATGCTTTCCTAAAAAAAATCAAAAAACTTAAATAAGGTAAACTAATTATGAATTATTTTGTATTTTAATTTTAGATTTCAAATATTTTTCTTTTCTTATTTTATGTGATTCATTTCATATGAAACTAACGTTATAGGGTTTTTCATCTGGTACTACTAAACTTTTGTCTTTTCCATATGGTACTCAAATACATTTTTTCTTCCAAACGGTACCACCCAAGTTTATAGTTAATTAATTAATACAGTGACACTCCATTAATTAAAACGTTAATTATATGATTAGATTTGAGTTAGATAACTAGACAAAAATTACGTTTTAACCCTTGTCCTTGCCATTTGTCTTCGAAAGGACAGGTGTGTCTTTCTTGGACAACTCAACTCATCCTTTCCTCTTTCTTCCTCCTCTAGCTTTTGTTCTTTAATGGAAGAATTATGCTCGCCTCTTTCCTCTTGCTCTATTCTTGCACTCACAAGTAAAAAAGATGGAATCATGAGATTGAGCACAGACCTCCTTTTTTACTCATATGTCCTATGCGCTCCTCAGATTATTCATGTCTTTCTTTTATCTCCTTTTCAAATTTATTTTTTTTCTCTCTCTATTGAAAATTTCTGTAGTTTTTGTTTTCATGTTTATATTAATGGGCTTTTTATATATTTTTGTAATTGGTTTTTGTTTGAATTTCATGTCAATTTTATTGTTTTATGTTGAATTTGTTTGAGAATTTCTTGTTAATTTCATGTGAATTAGCTTTGAAATTGGGGGAAGAATTAGTTGGAGGTGAAAATTTTGATGTTTGTTTTTCTAATTACATATGTGTTTGATTTTGAAGTAAATCACGATTGTAAGCGAGATTTGCTTTAATTTGGCTAATATATGTGTCCGACTCAGGTTGTTATTAGACCATTAATGTGATGGTTGTATGTTGCAGATGGGGTCTGTTTCTTAAGCAAGTTATACAAGAATGGGCAGCATTTTATCTCCCTGAACATGCAATTTCTTCCTCATGATTTGTCTTTTCCTTTAATATTGTTTTTAAGCTCCAATTTTTTTATTTTTTTTTTATGTATACACTTACTTTAAACATGCTGCTAAGCTCCAATTGCTTACCTAAATTGGCAAACTACAAATACTGATTTTTGAATTTCCAATAGCAGACTATGTAGATCGATTGAAGCCGTTGATGTTTTGAACACGATTCAAGAAAAGACACAGGAGAAGAGAGAAGAAAGATCGTTTTTTATTTTGAAGAAGGGAATCGTTTTTATTTTTTTAAGAAGGGAAATATTGAATAGGAATTTCAGTTGGTGAGCGGGCTTATTAATTGGGTTATTTCAAACATCTTTTCTTAAATCTAGTTATATAACAATGTAATTAACGTTTAAATTCGTAGAGTATTATTGAATTGATTAACTATAAACTTGGGTGGTACCGCTTGGAAGAAAAAATATATTTGGGTATCATTTGAAAAAGACAAAAGTTTAATGGTACCAAATAAAAAATTGCAACATTATAAAATGGAGGGAGTATTATTTTTTTCAACACACATTGAATTATTTAATTGAAAACATGATATATGTATTTAGTGGATGTCCATTATACCCTTATAATGATTCTAGGATATTCTAGATATACTAGGCTTATTATTCTACAAGAAAACCCTTATTGTATCACATGTGTATATATATATATACCGGAAGGTTCCGCTAAAAACAGAGCTTATGGTGAAAACTAAAAATAAGCAATCTTAGTCATTCATTACTAGCACAAAAGATTAGACGGTTCTAAAGCCCTAAGATCATTCCAACCTTACATATAATCAATTCAACCGTTTTAAAGGTCTTTTTTTTTTTTTTTTTTTTTGGACAAACGCAACGTTTTAAAGGTCACTACATGCTAAAATAAGGTAACTTTATCTAAATTGACGATATTTACATAGAGTCACTATATATAAAAATAACGTAACTATATACAAAAATAGGGTAGCTATATCAATTTTTACAATATTTACATTAAGGTCACTATATACAAAAATAGGGTAACTATTTCAATTTTGACCATATTTACACAGAGATCACTATATACAAAAATAGGGTAACTATAACAATTTTTACAACATTTACATTAAGGTCACTATATACAAAAATAAAGTAACTATATCGACTGAGTTTTTTACACCATTTACATAAAGGTCACTATATACAAAAATAAAGGTCACTATACATAAAAATAAGGTGACTGAAACAAAATTTACAACATTTCCATAATTCTAAGGTCATTATATTGAAAATAAGGTAACTATATATTAACTTCGGGTAATTATATCAATTTGACACCGTTTACCAAGAGGTCACTATATATAAAAATAAGGTAACAATATCAATTCAACATTTACACACAGGTCAGGTTAATATATTAATTTTGACTACATTTTAAAAAGATCACTACATGTAAGCCTATGTAGGATTCGAACCCACATCATGTGCACAATGCAAGTACACAATGCTCGACCAATTGAGCTAATAAACTTTCGGCACACAAAAACAATAAAGCTAATAACTCATATTATTGCACAAAATTAAGAGTCACTATAACAAAATCAATAAATGCTAAGCTTTGGTTTGTGTCAAAAAAAAAAAAAAAAAACCCAAGTATTACGAGGATATACATCCAACATAGTAAATCACTAACATACTTAATTATCATATGATAACATCACTATATCCATGAATAATCCATGTGCCAATGCTATTATATGCCGAAAAACCAAGGTTCCCCGCTATGTAAGAGAGGGAAAGAAGATCAACAAGCCAACAATGCAACAAAAACCACATACAACCTCGCAAACTCAATATGCTATCAATCATCATATGATAATATGTCTAATCCTAAGATTAATCCATTTTTCATCATTACACCAGTAGCTTCCTCGGTTTTAAAAGCAAGATGAGACCAACAAATTAACAATACATTGCAGAACAACAACCAATCAGACCAGTAGACCACATCCTGCACTTCAACACACTCAAATGCTAAAAATCATCAGATGATAACACATTACGCCCATGATTAATCCATTTCCTAGACCGTAAACCAAACTTCCTTGGCCTCAAAAGCGAAATGATATCGACAAACCAGAAATGTCGTGCATTAACACAACAAACACAATGCCGCAAATATCACAAATCAATCAATTTGAATCCTAGTGCGACACCAAGCTCTCAACATAAGTACAAATAGAATATAAACGGCGAATAGCAGTTTTCTCACACTGTTTTAATTGCTGATTCCTAATGTTATAATAAAATGTGTTTCCAGAGTGTACTACAAAAATCATATCAGTGTTCTTAACATGAAGAATCACTACATTATTCTTGTTAGTGCAATCTTTGATAAAATCAGAAGCCTCTAAATTCGAGTCCCCTGAAAACCATATCCTCCACGTCTCCTTTCCTTTACCATCCTCTTCCATAACCCATACACAACTTTTTTTAGAAGAGACACTCAAAATAGCTAATGACTCATCAAGGAGAAACACAATCCTACCAGTCACTTCTTCCCCAGCATCTGGCAACTCAACAAAACTGAACTCCTCAACATCAAAATCAAAATCCGCAAAAATCAGCTAAAATCAAACCCTAAATTCGAACACTAAATCTCTGAAATTCGAAATCTAAAATCGAACTATATATCCGCAAAAATAAGCAAAAATCGAAATCAACAAAAACAAAATTATGCTCAATTCAAATCAAATCAAATTTCTTACCATCTAAAATTGAAACGCGATTATCTTAATTTGAGCTATTCTCGTCATAATCAAACATGCATGTTACTAAAATTACCCAAACTTAATTTACTAAAATCAGAAACACAAAAATCGTGTTATTAAGAAGGTGAAGAACAACAACAAAAGTAGAATTTCGAGCAAAAATACACATAAAAACCTAGTTTACTTAAATTAAGCAAAATTAAACAAAATACATTTAAAAAATACTTTTACTAAAAGGAAACTTAAGTTGAAATTCATAAAACAAATCAAATTGAAAAAATAAATAAAAAAAACTTGCAAAATTACAAAATTATACAAAAATCATACACGAAAAACACAATAGACATTAAATTTCCGGTTGAATCTACAAAAAAAATACTCATGAAATTCCAGC